CTTTTTCAATCATATCTCGGAAATAAAAGGAGGTACAAAAAAACTTAAATACAGTTAGAAAGCTGATTGAATTCTGCGTAAAATAAGCCATCTTTGAAGTCATTTCGTTAATTATTTTTTGAGTAGTAGAGTGAGAAAGAAATAAAAAAAATTATCAAATTTTCTCATTTTTGTCTCTTGACTTCAACTTTTTCAAAAATCTAGAAAAATTTAGATAAAATTTTTCTAAAAACCCAGAAATCTTCGTTAGAATTTCAGCTTAAAAATAAGCCTTCGAAAATTAAAAAGGGTTCATCCGTTTTCGATATATCATTAAAAATGTGAAGCAGTGTTTCGACCGATTGCTGCATTGAAATTCAACTATGACGACTCGATTCTGGCTTCGCGCGGCAGCGAAAGAGAGAAAACAGGGACGAATTTTTGCTAGAGAATAATAAATAATGATGTTTCACGAGTAATATAAAGAAACTCAAAAGTTCATCGTTCCCCCGCATGAATTTGTTCCTGTTTTCTCTCTCATTCGCTGCCGCGCGAAGCCACAATCAAGTCGTCACAGATGAATTTCAATGCACCAATCGGTCGAAACACGGCTTCACATTTTTAATGATATATCAAAGACTGATTAACCTTTTTTAATTTTCGAAGACTTACTTTAAAGCTGAAATTCTAACGAAGATTTCTGTGTTTTTAGAAAAATTTTATCTAAATTTTTCTAGATTTTTGAAAAAGTTGAAGTCAAGAGACAAAAATGAGAAAATTTGATAATCTTTTTTATTTCTTTCTCACTCTACAACTCAAAAAATAATTAACGAAATGACTTCAAAGACGGCTTATTTTACGCAAAATTTAATCAGCTTTCTAACCGTATTTAAGTTTTTTTTTATACCTCATTTTATTTCCGAGATATGATTGAAAAAGTGATGGCATGTTTTTTTATAGAGTCAAATATAATCGTCCTGATACTTTTGGACGGTAGTGTATGACGTCAAAAAAAATTTAAACTGGTGGATCCAATATGTCGGACAAAATTTTTAAATTTTAAACAGATGTTATAAACAAAAAAGCAAAGAACAAAAAGTGTAATGTAAAAGCTTTGCAGCCTCCACGCGGCACATTCTGGGGTCATGATTTATTTCATTAGCTAATGTAAATGATATAGAATAGAGTACAAAATTTGATAAAAATCGGGATAAATTAAAAGAATTACATCCCCCCTTTTGAATTTATTATTTTTTATTTTGAAAGACAAATTTAAATTCAGCGACCCAAAATACCCCTATAGATACTGAAATTGATAAAAATCCAAATGAATTTTAAAAATTATGTCCACTATTTTGACTTTTTAAAAATGAATGTCAAATTTGAATTTAGCGACCCAAAAAACCCCTAGATACTGAAATTAATAAAAAACCAAATGAATTTCAAAAATTATGTCCGCCAATTTGGATCCGCCATTTTGAAGTTTTAAAAATGATGGTCAAACTCGAATTTAGCGACCCGAAAAACCCTTAGATACTGAAATTGATAAAAATCCAAATGAATTTCAAAAATTATGTCCGCCATTTTGAATTTTTTAAAATTAAGGTCAAATTCGAATTCACCGACCTAAAAAACCCTTATACACTAAATGTGACTTAAATTAAAAATAAATTTTATTTGTTTTTAAATTGTTATATTATTTAAAAATAATAAATAGGGTCAATTGGGGTAAATGTAAACGGAATATCTATTTTTCACCAAAAACATTAGTTTTTTTTATTTAAAGGTAAAACGGACGGATTTTTTTTGCATGAACTTGTTACTAGAGTTCCCTAGAAAAATTTTATGAGGTTCAAAAAATTATTGATGCACCTGAATCGCCTAAAACTGACTGTTTACATTTACCCCGAGATTTTGAAATTTTCCTAAAATTCGGGGTAAATGTAAACACCACTGTAGTAAAGCGAGGTTTAAGAAACAAGTTATTTCAAGTATACTACTGTTTTAAGGGATAGAAAAACTGATAAAAATTCTTCGTAGATGTATTGTAAATCAACCAGTTGACTGATAATGTATCATATAAAATAAACAATTAACCATTACAAAACTAGTAATGTAAAAACTTGAATAACTTGAACAAATTTTAATAGATTTTCATTCAACTTGGTAAAAAGAAGTTTTTAAGGTTGCTGAATAAGAATCTAAAATCGAATTTTTAAATTTCAAAATGGTGGATCCAATATGGCGGATGAACCTAAAAATAATATTTTTAAAAATTGATCAAATTTGCTTGAATCTGGCTACTAGGGGTTTTTTGAGGTAGCTGAATACGAATTTGAAGTCAAATTTTAAATTTTCAAAATGGCGGATGAACCTAAAAATATTTTTAAAAATTGGCAAATTTTCAAAAAAAAAATTTTTTTTATAAAATTTTTTTTTCAAAGAGGACCTAATTTTTTTTTCTATGTAATTTTACATTGCCAAATTAATGAAATTGTGAAATAGAAGCAAATTTATTCAATTATTTTCTTTTAAAATGTAGTTCAAGTTCTGTTTACATTTACCCCGAGTTTTCGAATTCTCGTTGTAAATGTAAACTCTTAATTATTTATTAACTAAATTGACGAAAATTAAAAATCAAAGTCAATTTTTGTTAGGGCATTAATAAGGAAGAATTACATATTTTTGTTTGATTTTTTAATTTATTTTTATACAAATGCGAGACAAAATACTGAAACAGTAAAATTTTGATTGTCAATCTTTTTTGCATTAAAAAATAACTTACACTATGGCATTGCTAATTGTCAAAATAAAATATTGGCAATACTCAGAACATCTTGTAGGTGAGCTGAGGTAAAAATATTAAAGTCATACTAATTTTTTAATTTGTAAATTTAGCTGAAACATCTACTGTTTACATTTACCCCTTGTTTACATTTACCCCAAATGACCCTAATCATTTATTTATTACTTAATCTAGGATCATTGCAATCTATAGTGTGTTAATAATGATATAAAAGAATTTATTTTATAATTTACATAAGAAATTGTATTTATTTTGCGCTAAGAAGTTCACGACCCAACGGTCGTTAACAGGCAACGGGTTAACAGAAAAATAGTTTTTAAAATTCAAACATATTTTTTTTACTAAATTCTCTTGAAAAATCTACATCATATCATGTTTTATATTTTTTGTAGGATAGTTTTTTGTACAAAAAAATTATTTCAAATTGAATTTTTTGTGTATAACTTTGCCGATCTGCAATTTCTAAGAAAAAATTACACGTTAATATCTACAAGTTATTCTCATTCTGTAGAAAATAACCTTTAAAGTAAGGGGCCGTACACATAATACGTCACGCGTCTAGGAGGACATAAAATGAGAGTATTTTCAGCCCGATTCATAAAGTTTAACTATATTTTTTTTGCATTTTTCTTTTTGTAAAAAAACGTTTTTTGGCCATAACTTAAAAAAAATGTTAGGACACCTATAAATGTTTTTCTTTAGTTTTGTAGAGTTTTTTCAGACGCATCTTTTGAGCCTTCATTGAACATTTTTCGTCTATATTAGCCGGAGATATTAAAGTTTTAAAAATCTAAATTTTTCGAAAATAACACTTTTTTGAAAATTTTGTTGAAAAATATAAGAGTAACTTTAAAAGTAGGCGAGAGTGGGCCTAAGTTGGCCACCCTGCATTTCTCAGAGATGGTATACTGGACGAATCTATAATTTTGTGGTATGATATATTGATAAACCATGATATAATTTATGGACCTAATTATAATCAAAGATTCTTCTACGCATTGTGAGGACAATAATATTGTTTACGACCAAAGAAATTTAATTTTTCTTGTTTTTTCGAGAGCAGCTGCAAGAGATAAATAATTAAAAATTTCTAAATGAGTGTGTGCGCTAGTTCCTTTATTTAATGTTGTAATAAGAGGTTCTGTTGATTTTTTAATTAAATTTTTTTTATTAGCGTAATAATTTGAAATTTGTAAAAATCTACAGTGGTCCTAAGTTGGCCACCTATTGTTTTTGTTTGTTTTTATTTATGTTTTGCTTCTTTTTTGTGTTTTTCATCACGAGAAAGACCGTAAAAGTGTAACGTAGGAATTAAACAAAGACAAAAAAACAAAAAAAATGGTTTAAAAAACATTAGAAAAGACATAGTACAAAAACGCCTGTCTCCACAGTCATCCACCACTGCAAATAAATGAAATAAAATAATGCTTCATTTTCTGAACAAAAATAGTTCAATAATGCGTTTTTATTCTCCTAAATGTATCAAATTTGTAAAATTTCTTCGTAATTGAAAAGAATATGCATTTCTTCCTTATATACAAGCGAAAAAAAGTGGTGGCCAACTTAGGACCGCTATTTCTGAAATGTCCAAAATGCAGCTTTTCACTATTTATTGTATTAAGACTATAAAAGCTGATGAGTCATAGGAATGGATCGGAGATAATAAAATATAGAAGTATGATTAGTCGCTTTTGGTCAGTCTGACCAGCGAGAAGTATACTGTCGACAATACTGTCTTTTAAAGTAAAATAGTCTCTGTGTCTTGTGAATTACTGGATGACTGAGTGTGAGGACGCCTACACTCTGGATTACGAGTTATTTGATCTACCTAAAATAAAGAGATCTGGATCTTGGATTAATCATCAAGGAGGACAACGCAGGTTGCAGTTCCACGAAGGATTTTATGATAAGTCGATGTTGTAATTTGTATGTGTATGTATGCTCGGGTAATGAATGAGGATTAAGGATTAATGGCCTAATCCCCTCCATTGAATGTGAATGTTGATGTGTATTATTATTTATTCTCGATAGAGTTTGTAAATTGATCACATAATTATTCAAAGAATCTTCTAATCCGAGTTCGAATATTGAGAGCATCATATCGCGATAATTAACGATTTCTTCTGAGAGTTTAGATCTCTTAATAAAGTGATTTGATTGTTTAATTATAATTTACTTTATTTTCTTTAATTACCCTCTCTTTTGGTTTCCAATCATGCCTGTGGAACATTCCCCGCCAAAGGGCAGAGAGGAAACGTTTTATATGGCGCCCGAAACAAATGATAGTGATAAAAATGATGCACTTGATGATCGAAATCAAATTAGTAAATTAAATAAGAGTTCGATAAAAGAAAATAACGATGAGGTAAAATTTGAAATGTTAGAACAAACGGGAAAATTCATGAATGAATTAACAGATATATTCAAGGGCATTAAAAATATAATGACAAATATAGAAGCTAGTGCGGAGATAATACGAAAGAATAATTCGCAAACAAACCATAATAATAGTAATCAAAACAATAATACGGGATATAATATAAAAGTAGATATACCAATGCCGGAGTTTGTGGATGAATTTCAAAATAATCCGGTGGAATTTTTAATCGAGTTAAAAGAATATTTTGATTTAAAGAAAATTCCTCACGAATGTTTTCCAGTAATAATTAGAAGAGCATTAAAAGGTAGAGCCAAAGCATGGTACTCCGCGAATAGTGATAAATGGGAGAATTTTTGCGAATTTGAATCTAATTTCAAGAGTGAATTTGACTCGATAGAATACCGGGCCGAAAAAACAAACGAGTGGAGAAACAGGAAATTTTCGAAAAAAGACGAATCATTTGTACAATATTTTTATTATCAAGTTAAAGAAGCAAACTACATAGATCCACCCCTGACCGATTACTCACGAAATTATGCAATAGTTCGTCAATTGCCAAGAAAAGTGCAAGAAACATTAGCGGCAATAAGATTAAATGATACCAGTCAAATAGTCAAGGCGTTGGCATGGCTAGATAATACTGAACGCGAATTTAAACAAAATCATACCCAACGATTTGGCATAGGGGGAAATCAATATAAAGAGCAGAATAGATATGAGGATAGAGGGGAAAAGAGAGAATCGATAGAGGAAGGAGAAAGAAAGAATAGATACGAAGAGAATTGGAGATGGCGAGAAAGAAGTGAACAAAATAAGAGAGATAATGCGAGACAGTATGAAGATAGAGGTAGGGGTGACGAAGACAAGAGTAGACAGGAAGATTGGCGAGCGGAGAATAGAGACAGAAAGAGACAAGACGTAGATGAAAGACGGAGAAAATATTATGATGACAGACAAGGGCAAACTTATGAGGGAAAAAGAAGGCACGATAGAAATGAAAGACGAGATGAATTTAATAAACAGACAAATTACGAGAGACGGACAGATTATAGTAGAAATGAAAGGCGAGGAGAGGGAAATTTTAGAACGAAAGTTGCGATAGTAACCGAAGAGGAAGAAGAGCGGTATGACGAAGAAGACGATACAAACAGTGATATGGATAAAATGTTAGATTTAAACTAGAGAGCGACAGTAAGGTGGGTCCAAATATCTGTCGCTGGATTTGTAATATTACTGAGGACCTAGTCTTCGACATTGAGGGGAAGGAAATTTTTAAAAGGGAAATTAAGGAAAAGCAAATAAAATTCAAGTGTCCAGTGTTAAAAGCGAAAATAGGTGAGGAAGAAATAGATGTAGTAATAGATACGAGAGCGCAAATTGAAGGAATATCGGAAAAGTTTTATGACAAATTAAAATGTAAGGGTTTATTAACACTTCCAGTTTCAAATATCAAATTATCGGGACCTTTTAGGGGTAAATCAGTAATCATAAAAAAAACAGATAATGACAAAAATAAGAATTGGAAATCAAAACATTGAAAGATGCTTGCTGGTAATTCCGGATTTGTGCTATGACATAATATTAGGGACGAATTGGTGTGGACAAAATGAGGTCGAAATAAAATACACGGATAGGACAATGAAAATAAATAACGAAATAATTTTTAAACCGGAAGTTAAATTTACGAATAATGTCGATGAAAACGATGCATCAAAACGAGTTTCGAGCATCGGGGTGGGGGATCGAGAAAATAAAAATAAAGATAAAGAAATTTGGGACTCGATAAGTCATTTAAAGAATATCACAAATCAAGAAAAAAATAAACTGTATGCATTACTACAGAAGCATAACGAAGTGTTTTCAGAAAATCCGGGACGTATTAATAATTACGAGCATATAATTAGATTAAAAAATAAAAACTCATTTGTTCATAGAAATTATCCAATCCCATTAGCTAAGATACCAAAAGTACGCGTGACGATTGAAAAGTTGTTAGACATGAAAATATTAGAAAAATCGACAGCCGAATTCTGTAGTCCTTTGCGGGTGGTAGAAAAGACTAACGGCGACATTCGCCTTTGCTTGGATGGCAGATTCATAAATGAAGTGATTCTCTCGGAGGTAGATGGCCCCCCGAACATGGATGACATATTACAAAAATTTGAAGAAAAGCGATTTTTCAGTTCGACAGATTTGCCACTGGGATATTTTCAAATACTGTTAGAGGCAGAGTCGAGAAAATATACAACATTTGTTTTCAAGGGGAGGGCGTATCAGTTTACGAGAATTCCGTTTGGCATTAAAACCGCGAGCAATGGCTTCATCCGAGCAATTAATTCAATTATGGATAATGAATTTCTTGATTTTATGGCAATTTACGTGGACGATATTTTGGTGGCCTCTAAAACATTTGACGAACATTTGGACAATTTAGATAGATTTTTCACGAGGGTTAAAAAATCAGGGCTAAGGGGCCGTAAACATAATACGTCACGCGTCTAGGGGGAGGGAGGGGGTCAGAGAATTGTGACTAAGTGTGACATGGGGGAGGGGGGTGAACTCATGTGTTACGTCACAATCTTTTAAATTCAAAGATTATAAGAAATTATATGTGACAATGTCACTTTTTCTAAATAAAACAAGTTAAAAATGCTTTAAACTATTTAATATCTATTATGTACCTGTTTAACATCTATTGGCATATTATTTATAATATGATGATAAATAATATATTCTCTTAATTTGAATCAGTTAAAAATCATGGTTTTAACTGACAATCAGTAGTGACTGACTTTTTGCTTCTGAATCAGTTAAAAATAACTGAAAAATTATTCACAAAACACCGAAATTTTTCTAAATATTGTATATTAAAGATTTGCTTGCATAATTCCAAAAATTTACTTGCAAAGTTTATTTTAAAATTGTGTAAAGATTAAAATTAAATTTTCAGGAAAGTTTCGCGCTAAACATTTATTGAAGTGGGATATTTAAATCTTTACACAATTTGTGCTATGTAGGTAGTTAAACGTGACTAATTGAATCAATCAAAAACAATTGTAGTGAAACATCAGTTATTTTCAACTAATTTTCAGAAAAAAAATATTACTATTTGAATTAGTGACTGACTTTTTGCTTTTAAATCAGGTATTTTTAACTGCGATTCAATAATTTAGAGTGTAAGATATAATATATATTGTCCAATGTATAAAATTTACAGTGAAATTTACGTGTGTGACGTGACGTAGGGGGGAGGGGGGGTTCAAGATTTGTGACGAAGTGTGACATAGGGGGAGGGAGGGGTCAAAAATGGTCCAAAATCGCGTGACGTATTATGTGTACGGCCCCTAACGCTAAGTTTGAAGAAATCAAATTGGTGCAAGGAGAAAGTCAATTTTTTGGGGTTTGTCGTGAATAAGGAGGGAATTCAACCAGACCAAGAGAGAATTCAGGCATTAAGGGACATACCAATACCAAAGAACCAAAGAACGATTCCTCGATAGAGTTTGTAAATTGATCACATAATTATTCAAAGAATCTTCTAATCCGAGTTCGAATATTGAGAGCATCATATCGCGATATTTAACGATTTCTTCTGAGAGTTTAGATCTCTTAATAAAGTGATTTCATTGTTTAATTATAATTTACTTTATTTTCTTTAATTACCCTCTCTTTTGGTTTCCAATCATGCCTGTGGAACATTCCCCGCCAAAGGGCACAGAGGAAACGTTTAAAACTATTATAACCATCTTATAGAATATATAAAAACATATTTTTTGGACTAAGAATTAATGATTTTTAACTCTTTTATTAAAATTAATTTTTATATTTCAATTATTATTATTTATATGAGGAAGCAAGTGTTCATAAAATGAACACCAAAATTATAAAAATGTACAACTTGGCAGCGGTTTTTTAATTTTTAATCTTTGAAATTCAAGTAGTTTTTTATATTCCCAAAAATTAGTATTTTATTGCAATATCAGGAAGAAAAGTCGAAAAAATCACATTATTTAAGAAAAGTCAAACCAACTTGACGCAAATTAATATTTTTAATAATCATAAGTCGATAAAATAGAAATTAGTTTCCTGTAAGATAGAATGAAATATATAATACATAAATTAGCTTCTCAATGTCATGTGGCGATTTGGTTGAGCGCATTAAAGCGCTATCCCAGCAGCGCACACTTGAAGGCCTATGACTTGTGGTTCGAGTCCGCTGACCCTCATGTGCTGTAGTTATGAAAATCCTTTTTTTTATTAAACTCATTTTTTTATTCTATAATAATGCAAAATATGAATATTTCATATTTTTTAACGCTTTTTTAATAATAAAATTTCATTAACAAAAATATTAATAGTTTTTGGAAACTTCCTGGTAACCCAGTAATAAGGGGTGAATTAAAGTGGATTGGTACTTTTATGCCCTTAAATTCCAAACCAATTCCGTTTTTGTCCGCAATCTTAATGAATTCCTTTTCTATTGTTAAATTGATCATTTCTATCCAATTCAATTCTCTGTAACCACGTGACCAGAGTCTGAATTTACTTTAATGCCGTTTAAGGGAATCATTTGTTGTGGATTTAATGCCTTTTAATTAACATTGAATTTTTTAAAGGGAATTAAAGGGGTTTCAAATTCTGGTCACGTAGTTACAGAGAATTGAATTGGATAGAAATTATTAATTTAACAATAGAAAAGGAATTCATTAAGATTGCGGACAAAAACGGAATTGGTTTGGAATTTAAGAGCATAAAAGTGCCAATTCACCCCTTATTACTGGGAACTTCCAGGAAACTTACTTTGACAACTCCCAAGAAATTTCCACCGGTAATTTGCAGGAAGCTTCCAAGGGAAGATTCCAAGAAAGTTTCCAAGAAACCTCCTGGAAGATTCCATGGGAAGCTTCCAAGTGCGGACATTGGTGTATGTTAGAGAAGTTTCCAGGAAGCTACCGAAGGTAACTTCTGAAGTTACCACGGGAAGCTTCCTGGAAACTTCTTAGAAGTTTTTGTGCTATCTGGGTGCGATCGAAGATGTTCGAGCTGTTTTTATGGTTCAAAGGCTCTGAACTGCGGGTTAATATTAAAAATTTTTATTTCCAAATATTGTGTTCTTATTTTTACACAAATTAAAAGATTTTTAGGGGATGAGACCCAATAAAAATTTTTTTTTTATTTTTTTGGGACACCCTAATGATGAGTCTTTGAAAGGAAAATGTAAAATTACACAGCCACACAAAAAAAATAAAGTGTCTTGATCTGGGGTCGAGACATATGTATTTCGATGCGCTGAATCCGAATCCGCCATCAGAATTTGGCCAATGGGTCCTGGTTTCACCCTAACCTAAAAAAAACCCTAAAATCGTTAAAATGGTCACTTTTGATTTATCAAAATTGAATCAAATTGAATCTAACCGCATATTGATAATTTTCTCAGATTCCTTAATTAAAATAAACTATTCTATAAGCTTTTCAATTGAAAATTCATATAAAACATTAAATATATCGAACCTAACCTCAAAAACACATCTAAGATTCCAAACAAACAAATTATACCATACACAGCGCAATAAAAATTATGTAAGCTCATGAAAGTTACAACTTAGGTGTTTTTATGATTGCTGATTACGAATCCGGTGTTAGTTTATCAAAATTCAAAATAGCGGATCCAATATGGCGAACAATATAATTAAAATTTGTTTGGATTGGCTTGAAAATCGTTACTCGGGGGTTTTCGGGGTCGCTGAAGACAAATCCTATGTCGGTTTCTAAAAATTCAAAATGGCGGATCCAATATTGCGGTCTTTATTATTTTAACGATTATTTTAAATTTATTACTCGCGGTTTTTCGGGACCTTTGATAACGAATCGTATATCAATTTTTATAATCTTAAACACGGTGGGCTTAGACTAACTTTAACCTAAAAGTATTAGCCCATCTCGGTTCTCTTCAGATAATTATTCTACTCTATTTTCTGAGTAATTTGAGCCCAAAATGAAAAAAATTGGTAGGGGGATATTCGAACAAACTCGATTTTTGTGAATTTTCCTTCTTTATGAGGATGCTTTGCATTCCTCACAATTTTGAATTTTTCAAAAGAAGGTTATATTGACTCATTTTCAGGGGCGCAGAGAGAAAAACCGGACCCGGTACCAAAAAATTGCGAGCTAATATATATCTA